GAAGGATAAAACTTCACACACTTTGTTCCTGGTAGACACGGGGGCAGAAGTTAGCGTGATCCCTCCTTCACTATCCAGGCGATCTACACGGACACCCGGAAAACTGTCTCTCCGGGCAGCCAACCACACAACTATACCGACGTATGGAGAGCAATCCCTTATACTGGATCTAGGTTTGCGTCGGTGGTTCACATGGATTTTCATAGTAGCCGACGTCGGTCACGCCATCCTAGGAGCTGATTTCTTAACTAATTTCAACCTGATAGTTGATGTCAAAAATAAAAAGCTGATTGATAACAACACCCAACTACAGATCCACGGAATTATCTCCAACTATTCTGTCCACAATATCAGTATTGAAAGACCAGCGGATTGCACTTTTTCCGCCCTGCTTCATCGTTTCCCTAAAATTCTTAAGCCGTCGTACAACGTCGAGGAAGTCCCTCATACAGTGACTCACAAGATAGTTACTACGGGTCAACCAGTTCGTGCTCGCCCTCGTAGATTACCCCCGGAAAAATTAGCAGCAGCCAAGGCAGAGTTTGAACACATGATGCAGCTCGGCATCATCAGACCCTCCAATAGCCCTTGGTCTTCGCCCTTACACATGGTGCCTAAGGCTGATCATGATTGGAGGCCGTGCGGGGATTACCGACCCTTAAACAATGTCACCGTTCCCGACCGTTATCCTATTCCTCATCTTCATGATTTCTCCCTGACACTACACGGAAAAACCATATTTTCTAAGGTAGACCTGGTCAGGGCCTATCACCAAATACCATTTGCCCAAGAAGATATCGTAAAAACGGCCGTCATCACACCTTTCGGCCTGTTCGAATTTCTCCGAATGCCATTTAGCCTAAAGAACGCAGCACAATCCTTCCAACGGTTCATGGATCAGGTCACACAAGGTTTGGACTTTGTATTTGTATATATCGATGACGTTTTAATTGCCAGCTCGTCGCCCGAAGAACATACTGATCACCTCACCATCTTATTTCAACGATTTGAGCAATTTGGAGCAGTCATTAACCCCAAAAAGTGCATATTCGGTGTCCCCTCTATACAGTTTCTGGGACACCACATAACTGCGAATGGTATTACGCCTACGGAGGAAAAGGTAGAGTCCATCAAAAACTTCCCCGTACCAGATTCACTTAAGAAGGTCAGACGTTTTTTTGGGGATGTTTAATTTCTATCGGCGTTTCATTCCTTCGTGTGCCTCCATCGTCCAGCCGTTAACCGACCTCCTTAAAAATGATCCTAAAAAGTTTCAGTGGTCAGCTGAAGCCCATGAATCTTTCTGCAACGCAAAAGACGCCTTATCCAAAGTCACTATGCTATCTCATATCAACCCCGAAGCATCGCTTATTTTGTGTACAGATGCCTCCCAAGTAGCTGTAGGGGCAGTATTACAACAAACGATGAAAGGTGAAGTCACCCCACTAGTATTCTTTTCTAAGAAGCTGGAACCGGCTCAGACACGTTATAGCACTTTTGGGAGAGAATTGTTGGCCATATAACTTGCAGTGAAGCATTTCAGTTACTTACTACAGGGCCGGCACTTCACTATTTTTACTGACCACAAGCCCCTGTGTCATGCTTTCACTGCTTCACTCGATAAACACTCCCCTAGAGAAGCCAGACAGTTGGATTATATCTCCCAATTTTCAACCGACATCCAGTACATCAGAGGGGATGCGAACGTGGTAGCCGATTCCCTTTCAAGAAGTGAAATAAACCAGCTTCAAACCGCGGTAGACATCAGTCTGGATCACATGGCTCAACTACAGAGAGATGACGTTGAACTCCAAACCTGCCACAGAAACTCTTCCTTAAAGCTCAAAGAGGTGCCTATCCCCTTATCAGATGCAACCATAGTCTGCGATGTATCTACCGGCACTAACCGTCCATTTGTCCCTCTCAGTTGCCGAAAAGCATTGTTCGACCATTTACATTCTCTTTCTCACCCTGGAGTACGCGCCACAGTCAGACTCATCAGCGAACGCTTCGTGTGGCCTAAAATGAACTCTGACATTCGGAGATGGGCACGCGAATATCTCCAATGCCAATGCTCCAAAGTACACCGTCACACTATTACGACCCCGAAGCCGTTTAAACTACCCGAAAGGAGATTTCAGCATATCCATATAGATATCGGGGGACCACTGCCAACATCAAGAGGAAAGACACATATCCTGACAGCGATTGATAGATTTACTCGCCGGGCTATTGCATGCCCCCTGAACGATATATCTGCTGAAAATGTTGCTTTGGTTTTCCTCGACCGCTGGGTGTCAAATTACGGTGTACCAGCTACTATTACATCCGACCGCGGTCCTCAATTCCAATCGACACTCTTTCGCGAACTGACGAGACTCCTGGGAGTGAAACATATCTCCATGACAGCCTATCATACGGCAGCGAATGGTCTAGTGGAAAGATTCCACAGACAACTGAAAAGCTCCCTGATGGCGCAAAATGATACATCTAAGTGGAGTTAATACTTACCTTTAATTTTACTTGGTATCCGATCTACTATCAAAGAATATTTAGGATGTACACCGGCTCAACTTGTTTATGGCACCAACCTAACCTTGCCTGGAGAGATAGTCCCCTCAGTCGATTCCACAGACGTGAACATCACCGACTTCACCAACCGATTAACTAGACAAATGCTTCAGCTTCAACCAACAGCACCTCGACAATCTCCCCGACGAGATCAGATCAACAAACATCTACAAACTTGCAAATTCGTGTTTGTTCGAGTCGACGCCATCAGAAAAGGATTACAACCTCCATACGAAGGCCCATTTCAAGTTATTAAACGTTCAGAAAAACACTTTACGGTGAACAAGAATGGAAAACGAGAGACTGTTTCCATCGATCGCATCAAACCCGCATACACAGACAACGATTTCGAAGCTACATCAGCAACTGCACAATCAAATAATCAAACATCACATTCCACTCCACCGGCACCAAGTCTTATCATCCCTCCATATCAAACACGTAGTGGTCGGCAAATCAGTAAACCGGCTCGCTACGTTCATTTTGAGGACTAATAAAAAAATATTAAAAAATATTATTATCTTTTTCGTTTAGACATTATTATCATGACCGTTAGTATTTCGTTGTAAACTTTGATGTTACTATCACTATTATTTACTTATGTGTACCTCACCTATAAAACAGGCATTGCCCATTTCAGAAACTATTGATCTTTAATCCATATTACTTTAATATTTCTTTTCCCCTCCTTAGTTACTGTGTATTTACATATTTTGTCTTTCGTTATACATTGAAAATCTATGCTCATGGTTTGTGCAAATTTAAAAGATATGAATTTCTGTTTTAATGTTTTTATTGCTGAACTAATTGTATATGCTTTCAGACTTTACATGACTCCTATAACTTCTTGAGTTGAAGTTATAGCCCACTAGACCATGAGTGTGCGACCAATTCGTAAAATATGCATAGAAAATTCTAGCACAGCTAATAACTTGACCCAAATCAACCACGACTTCGAAGTTACAGTGGAGACAAGATGATTAAAAAGATTAAAGCTCTCCGAGACTCTCCTACAGAGGGGTATATTTAGAACATTCTTTAGAGGTTGAAGTTATCGACGTTCGTGAACTGTACGGAGTATACTAACGCAAGATCTTATACCGACAACTTCTATAGTGTTCGCTCTTCGAGTACCAAAGATAAAGCAAAAGACCAGATTTAGTCGTCCAAAGTACGTAATATATTTCGGGACCAAATCGCGGGTTGAAGTGAATGCTTAGCTGGCTAGTAGTCGTGCACGCACGTGACACGACGGAGTACCAAATGGCGGGGATGCTTGACCGGAAGCCTTTAGCTAAACAAGTCGACTTAAACAGTGAGAGTCAGCATCCAATGTTGAGTGATGATTGCTGTGGTCAATAATTTTGGGGAATTATTTACCGCTACAATTCTATAAACTATCGGGTAGGAATGATTAATTATTAATCCGAATATTCCTTCTCCTGCCAATCGATCTTAAATAAAATCAAAAATACACATTGGACCGTGAGTACACTGGAGAAACGCAGGCAGTCAAACTTCTACGCATAGCCACCAAGAGGGTCCAGTACAGTGAGGATAAAGATTTGCCTGTCTGACGTACCAGTGCATATATTAGTAGGTATTACTAACCACTATGTTAGTGGACCTAATTATTCTGTCACCCACAAAGAAAACGGAGGTTTGTTCACCGAAGAGGTGTTTACCTTAATTCATGGACTAACGTACGTACCTAGTCATCTGAAGATCTGGAAAGACCCACTGATAGCAAGGAAACTTTGCGAGTTTCTTCGTTATTCTGTTCAATTCCCAAAATTAAACACGAAAGCTAAATTCAAGTGCATAAAAAACAACAGCAGTTCATAATGGACAACACTGCTCATAGTATTATCCTAATAGAAGTCACGTTGTGAGGAGCAACCCGAAGTAAGTTCTATCAGCATGAAGCCGAGAGAGCCCTGCGGCAAATATGGAGTTCTGTTTCCTATACTCCATCCAATGAAGCTGACATTATTTGTTCATAGAATATGGTGACGGTCTGAAATACGATACCTGAAACCTGTTCTAAAACAGCTACTCAATACATAGTGCACCCTGAAGCCGAGGAGTTTTGTTAAATTAAGCCACAATGTCAGTCAATGTATATGAAATGCCTCCGTATAACGAGTGCCGGTTCGAGAGACCGTATTCATATACACCGAGAAAAGGTCTCACAAGGAGTGTTGAAACAATTCGTTCAAAGGCCACGTTCACTACCCAAACGTTGAGCTATATTGTTATTAATCGTAGATAATGCTAGACAGAAAAATAAGCTATATCTTTTAACGGTCTTTTGCGGATATTTGTCTTCATATCTCTTTTTTCTGGTGGATTCCTATTTGAATTACGCTTCTTTAGGCTTCTTTGATGTTTTTTATCCTCGTCTTCAGCTGAGGGAGTAGAAACTCCTTTTAATTCAGACTTTTCCTTTAGGGAACTGTAGGTCATTACAAACATCTTATCAGCTTACCGTTTGCAATGAAACCGTTTGTTAGTATCCTTACACGTCTTAATTATTCCTTTTCTCACTTCTTCCTTCATATGATAATCGTTTGAGTTTTTGTACAGAAAATAGAGGTCTTGACTCATGTATTCTGAGCCAATGGCTAAACGTGGACATGGATTATCTCCAACTCTCTTGAGTCCATTTAAACTCAATGGAACGTGTTTGCTATCGATATTCCGAGTTGGATAACGTCTATATGAATAATAATTCATACGGTTCATGTTAACGGATAATTATTTTGAAACACTGACCATTCAGTTAGCCAATGTACAATATCCAATATCGTTTTTACGAGCTAGTATAAACCAATTTGATTTCTTTGTGCTCGCCTCTTGATTGTGACGTAGAGGTTACAGATCTTCGGTGAACTTATGCGTAGCTCGTCCCGCCACTCGACTGCTTTAGCTCTGGTAGACTCCAAGAGGAGTGGTACGAGGATTGGTCAAGATGTGGTTTGTAGTGTGCAGTATGTTAGGACTCAGTTGCTGCCGTGAATGGAGTTTGACCTAACACCCGTTGGTCATTCGGTATAGTCATAAAAGCAGAATAGTAATAATAATAATAGGTTGTAGTGTAGATAATATAGGTTGAGATAAGTGAAATAAAGGTGACCAAAGAAAAGATAGAGTAGTCGGTACAGTGAGAGAAGACAGGACGGGTCGTAGGGATTTAGCTTTTATGCTTATCCATTGACATTGTGGTCTCAAATTTTAAGAGGATAAGCCTTTGAGACACAAACCATGCATTTCTACATGATTGTCCAGCTTCCGCTTAAAACTCTCCACAGATGGTGCTGTAGTCACGGCCGTCGGTAAAGCGTTCCAGAGACGGCAAACTCGAAGCGAGAAGAAATGTGAACGCACTCGAGTCTTTGGTCTCTGGTGTGCTATCCTTAGCGGGTTACCTCGTGGGAGCCTATAATCACTTAATGGCAGGATGCTTTTATTAGGATGGACCTGGTCATTTAAGTTCTTATAGACGATGATGGGGTCTTCCCTGTGACTACGGTAACTAAGTGTGAAAAGACTTGATTTCTTCAGTCTTTCCTCATATGATTTGTTGCGGAGGCCGATCACCCATTTTGTCGCTCGTCTCTGGACACTTTCTAGAGTGTTAGCATCCCCTTTGAGTAGCGGAGGAGCAATGATATTATGCACCTCAAGGAGTGGCCTCACGTATGTTGTATACAACCTTAAGAATAGTTCGGGAGTAAGAGCTCCCAGCTGCCTATGCATAAAGTGTAAAGTTGCGTAGGCTTTGGCGGCGTCCCTCGTGTGTTTTACACTGGTGTCTAGCTTTTCTGTTAAAATAAGACCTAGGTCGCGTTCTGATGGCACACAACTCAAGTTCTGGCCACCAAGGGTGTAATTCACACTCTGTGACCTGCCGGAATGAAGTTGCACTACTTCGCACTTCTTTAGATTGAAAGGCATTCCGTTAGCCAGAGCCCAGTCTCCCATAATTTGCAGGTCAGCCTGCAATCTATCGGAGTCTGTCGATGAGTTTATTGCTCTCCAAATCTTTACGTCGTTAGCGTAAAGAAGCGCAGAGCAGTTCAGTTGACAGGGCAGGTCGTTGATGAAAACCAAAAACATCAACGGCCCTAAGATAGAACCCTGAGGAACCCCTGATGCCGAGGTGTGCCAGGAGGATCGGATGCGGTTGACTTTGGTGCAGAATTCTCTCTCGCCTAAGTAATCTTTCAGCCATGCGAGAAGTGCTCCAGAAACACCCGCCTTGCTTATTTTGTGAAGGAGCAGACCATAGTGAACTGTGTCGAATGCTTTCGCAGAGTCGAGAAAGATCACATGGACTGGTACCTTTACATCCCAGGATAGTGTCCGATCGTTCCAAGCTAGTAGAAGATTCGTCACACAGGATCTTCCCCTCCTGAAACCGTGCTGTGCTTCATGGAGTAGGTCAGTCCCGTCGAAGTATTTTCTCATGTGGTCGTCAATGAGACTTTCCAATAACTTCGATATCACTGGAAGTAGCGTAACTGGTCGCATTCTGCTGGTCACCACCCTTGAAGATAGAGGATAGGATGGCTCGTTTCCATTCACATGGAAGTTTCCCTACATCAAAAATTGTAGAAACAGATCACTTAGGGGTTGGCAAAGACTTTCTGAACACTGCTTCAGGACGGATAGTCTTATGTCATCGCAACCTGCAGACTTTCCCGAAGCCAACTTTCCCAATTTTACAAGTACCATAGCCGGAGTGATTTGAAATGTACCCAGCAGGTTTTCGCACGTTGGTCTTGCATTGTAATCTTGATGTTTTGTGGGGGTAAAATCCTCATTACTGTTCAGTTGCCTGTGAAAGGCTAGACTGAATGTCTCTGCCATTTCAAGACTAGTAAGAGATTTCCCATCAGAACCCACTAGATTGCGAGCTCCCTGGTTGTTCGATTTTCTTTCAGACATAAACCTGTATAGGCTTTTGGGGTTCACGAGAAGCTTATTGGCGAGGTTTCTCTGAAATGTCCTTCTATCACTCCGGACTCGTATGTTACATCGATTCCTGAGTTCAAGGTACACTTCATGTTCGGGTTGACTCTTCGATACTCGCCACGCAAACCAGGCTTTTCGCTTCGCCTGTAGAAGGCGTTGTGTACCCCTTTTTAGCCATGAACGTTGCTTTCTAGCTTTTGGTGTGACTAAAGGAACAGTGTCTGAAACCGCCTGGTGAATGATCTCCTTTACCACTCCCCAGTGTTCTTCTACTGTAAGCTCTGTCCAATTTTTTGGCCAATTTGCTTCAAACAAAAGTCATCGCATTTCGGTGTAATTGGTTTTGTTATAACACAGATAGGGCTGTGTTTTGTTCCACTGTAAACGCTCGCGGAGGACTATGTCGAATAATATGACCGCGTGGTCACTACTACCTATGGGAGTCGTGATCTGAACGTTTTCCACTAGTAGCTGGTCACTAGTGAGCACATAATGCAGTCTAGAAGACTTCCCATCTAGGCCCCACCTAGTATCCATTCTGACATTTTCAGTGAATCCGGCCTCCCTGATGGTATGCAGCAGATTTCGGTCGAATCTATCATGGGTATATCCCGTCATCAAGTTAAGAGATGGGGCATTGAAGTCGCCAGCTATGACAATTTCATTGTAACCCATGTCTTGTGTCGCTGAAATTGTATTCAGCAGTACCTGGTTGTGGTCTGCTCCACATGAAGGTGATCTGTAAATGCTGCCCACTAGATATTTACAGTACCCAACGGTGAAATGGCACCATATGGAGTCAGGGAGCCCAATGAGGGGAGGGTCCATTGCATGGACACATCCGAGCTGTTTGTCGACGTATATGGCGACTCCACCTCCTTCTTTCAGATCCCTATCTCGCCTGACTAGGACCATATCATTTATACTGACTTCGCTGTCTGCCACTGTGGGGGTTAGCCAGGTTTCCGTCAGTATTATGATTTTGGAGTTCAGCTGTGTTTGTAGGTGTCTAAGTTCAGCTATTTTGCCTCTTAGCCCTCTCACATTACTGTACAGGCAACTGGTAGTCAGTCTCACCACGTCCCCGTATTGGGGGGTGGTTGACGTGATGTGGGCTGTCGGTTGAGGAGTTATCCTACGAACTAGTTGGCCGATCCCCCGGGAACCGGCCTGTTGGCGTTTTTTTCTTCTAGTTCAATCGGAGCACTTGGATGACACTGGCTATCATCGTCCGTGCTGCACCGCTGTATTGTGACTAAGGGTTGGGGATGTTCTTTGACAACGCTTTGTTCTCTCCTTTGGATACGAGGCCGGCTCTCGCAGCAGCGAATGTGTCTGCTGACCTTGTCCTTGGTCCCGTACCATCTCTGGAGAGCAGTAGTCAAGTGGTCTCGGGAGCTGAACTTGACAGCTAACAGACGTGGCGTGTTAATTGACATAAAGTGAGTGGGTCGAGGCAGTCTATAAATAGAGACAGCCCCTGAACTTCCCAGAGCCATCTGGGATGACAACCATCTCCATTGCTGTACATCGTGACAGTGCTTCTCGCAAGCGTTCCCAGTTACCAATTCGGGAATGCCGTGAACAACCATGGAGGCAGAAGGAATAAGCTCTGGCGACTCCCTCGCCATCTGTCTTTCCTTCCATGGCCTATCTGGCCTAACACGTATATTGCAGGCCCTCCCTATAGGAAGGACTTGAGAAGTCAGCAAAACTTTTTCGACATCCTCGGTATAGCCCAGTGTTACCCTCAGTGGGGATAGTTTGCCTTGAGGAGCAGCAGTGCCCCTATACAATCTGCATAGTTTTACTGGTTGGATGTCCAGACCCAGTGTGCTACACAGGTTGGACCACTGTTCCTGATCAAACAAGGCCCTGTTTTCCAACAGACTACTACTACAGTCTGGTACATTAAAGAGGATTACGCAGTTTGATCTACTAACCATGGATTTAGGTTCGGTCCTCGCACATTTGTCATCCCCTTTAAGACCGTTTTGTTTCGTCTGGTGCCACTGGATATTATTGTGTGTCTCAGTGCCGTGGCCACTATTACTGGCAGACGAGAAGGGTCTTTTCCCAGCGACAGATACCCTTGGTGCTTCAGTCTCTTTGTCAGGGGCAGTTATGGCAGGAATTGCAAGTTTAACCGGTGTGGATTTTGGTATCCCCGATTTACGTGCAATTGTGCTGTTTTCCGAGTTGGTGGGAGTAGAACGTTTCACATTTTTCCCTGATACCTCTACGCCATCTTTAACTTTCAAGAAACTACACAAGGCTGCATCAGGACGGCAACTTGGGCATATGTACCAGAACCATGGGCATGGGTTCTTACGCATAAAATCGTAATATACTTTTGGTACTTCAGTGTCGCATCTACAATGTACCCATTGCTTGCAAAAGTTGCATTCGAAAGCAGAGTCTACTTGTTCGACAACAGAATTGCAGAACTTGCAATCGTCTGCCTTCTTGGGGAACGTTTTCGTCGTCTTGCGACGTCGTGAACGTTTCTTTTTGACCTTCCTGTTTGTTTCAAGGCCTACTATGGAGATGGGCGTTATACTATTCTCACTTTGTACAGATTTACCACTCGGCTCTATTAACCTAGTCGTGTTAACAGGGATGGAGCCACATCCGCTTAGTTGACTTGTCACAGTTTCACTGTAGGACTGCGGCGACATGGGCAATCTGTCCACGCAGGGAATATTTACCCTGGTCTTAAAGACAGGTGTGCGAGAGTCCATCACCTTCACCTGTTTGCCTAATTTGGC